GGGCATTTTCGTGATTTGTGCTATATTACGGACCCAAAATTACTCTTTCAAGCATTGTTTTCGAATATTTTTCATGCATCAAAGCTCGTTAAGACTAGATGGGGTATCCCTACATGGCGGGTGGGACCCACGGCGAACGGTTCATCAAGACTTAAAAAAAGAATATATACGATTGCATTGCATATACTAACGGATGCGATCATACCAGCACTAATGCACCGGATCCCATCAGAACTCCGCAGTTAAGCGTGCTTGGGCGAGAGTAGTACTAGGATGGGTGACCTCCCGGGAAGTCCTCGTGTTGCATCCCTCTTTTTTTTTTTTTTTTTTTTGGTTAAAACTTTATGACTCTATAACTTCTATACCGTGAGGCCAAACTTGGCATGTGATACCTTTTCGGAAAGCCCAAAGAGAGCCCTCCGACGAAAGAAGCAAGACAATGGAACTTTTCCATTGACTTTTTGTCGACTCCAAATTTTGACCTTTAAGTACTTTTTCGGGCATTTTCGTGATTTGTGCTATATTACGGACCCAAAATTACTCTTTCAAGCATTGTTTTCGAATATTTTTCATGCATCAAAGCTCGTTAAGACTAGATGGGGTATCCCTACATGGCGGGTGGGACCCACGGCGAACGGTTCATCAAGACTTAAAAAAAGAATATATACGATTGCATTGCATATACTAACGGATGCGATCATACCAGCACTAATGCACCGGATCCCATCAGAACTCCGCAGTTAAGCGTGCTTGGGCGAGAGTAGTACTAGGATGGGTGACCTCCCGGGAAGTCCTCGTGTTGCATCCCTCTTTTTTTTTTTTTTTTTTTGGTTAAAACTTTATGACTCTATAACTTCTATACCGTGAGGCCAAACTTGGCATGTGATACCTTTTCGGAAAGCCCAAAGAGAGCCCTCCGACGAAAGAAGCAAGACAATGGAACTTTTCCATTGACTTTTTGTCGACTCCAAATTTTGACCTTTAAGTACTTTTTCGGGCATTTTCGTGATTTGTGCTATATTACGGACCCAAAATTACTCTTTCAAGCATTGTTTTCGAATATTTTTCATGCATCAAAGCTCGTTAAGACTAGATGGGGTATCCCTACATGGCGGGTGGGACCCACGGCGAACGGTTCATCAAGACTTAAAAAAAGAATATATACGATTGCATTGCATATACTAACGGATGCGATCATACCAGCACTAATGCACCGGATCCCATCAGAACTCCGCAGTTAAGCGTGCTTGGGCGAGAGTAGTACTAGGATGGGTGACCTCCCGGGAAGTCCTCGTGTTGCATCCCTCTTTTTTTTTTTTTTTTTTTTGGTTAAAACTTTATGACTCTATAACTTCTATACCGTGAGGCCAAACTTGGCATGTGATACCTTTTCGGAAAGCCCAAAGAGAGCCCTCCGACGAAAGAAGCAAGACAATGGAACTTTTCCATTGACTTTTTGTCGACTCCAAATTTTGACCTTTAAGTACTTTTTCGGGCATTTTCGTGATTTGTGCTATATTACGGACCCAAAATTACTCTTTCAAGCATTGTTTTCGAATATTTTTCATGCATCAAAGCTCGTTAAGACTAGATGGGGTATCCCTACATGGCGGGTGGGACCCACGGCGAACGGTTCATCAAGACTTAAAAAAAGAATATATACGATTGCATTGCATATACTAACGGATGCGATCATACCAGCACTAATGCACCGGATCCCATCAGAACTCCGCAGTTAAGCGTGCTTGGGCGAGAGTAGTACTAGGATGGGTGACCTCCCGGGAAGTCCTCGTGTTGCATCCCTCTTTTTTTTTTTTTTTTTTTGGTTAAAACTCTATGACTCTATAACTTCTATACCGTGAGGCCAAACTTGGCATGTGATACCTTTTCGGAAAGCCCAAAGAGAGCCCTCCGACGAAAGAAGCAAGACAATGGAACTTTTCCATTGACTTTTTGTCGACTCCAAATTTTGACCTTTAAGTACTTTTTCGGGCATTTTCGTGATTTGTGCTATATTACGGACCCAAAATTACTCTTTCAAGCATTGTTTTCGAATATTTTTCATGCATCAAAGCTCGTTAAGACTAGATGGGGTATCCCTACATGGCGGGTGGGACCCACGGCGAACGGTTCATCAAGACTTAAAAAAAGAATATATACGATTGCATTGCATATACTAACGGATGCGATCATACCAGCACTAATGCACCGGATCCCATCAGAACTCCGCAGTTAAGCGTGCTTGGGCGAGAGTAGTACTAGGATGGGTGACCTCCCGGGAAGTCCTCGTGTTGCATCCCTCTTTTTTTTTTTTTTTTTTTGGTTAAAACTTTATGACTCTATAACTTCTATACCGTGAGGCCAAACTTGGCATGTGATACCTTTTCGGAAAGCCCAAAGAGAGCCCTCCGACGAAAGAAGCAAGACAATGGAACTTTTCCATTGACTTTTTGTCGACTCCAAATTTTGACCTTTAAGTACTTTTTCGGGCATTTTCGTGATTTGTGCTATATTACGGACCCAAAATTACTCTTTCAAGCATTGTTTTCGAATATTTTTCATGCATCAAAGCTCGTTAAGACTAGATGGGGTATCCCTACATGGCGGGTGGGACCCACGGCGAACGGTTCATCAAGACTTAAAAAAAGAATATATACGATTGCATTGCATATACTAACGGATGCGATCATACCAGCACTAATGCACCGGATCCCATCAGAACTCCGCAGTTAAGCGTGCTTGGGCGAGAGTAGTACTAGGATGGGTGACCTCCCGGGAAGTCCTCGTGTTGCATCCCTCTTTTTTTTTTTTTTTTTTTTGGTTAAAACTTTATGACTCTATAACTTCTATACCGTGAGGCCAAACTTGGCATGTGATACCTTTTCGGAAAGCCCAAAGAGAGCCCTCCGACGAAAGAAGCAAGACAATGGAACTTTTCCATTGACTTTTTGTCGACTCCAAATTTTGACCTTTAAGTACTTTTTCGGGCATTTTCGTGATTTGTGCTATATTACGGACCCAAAATTACTCTTTCAAGCATTGTTTTCGAATATTTTTCATGCATCAAAGCTCGTTAAGACTAGATGGGGTATCCCTACATGGCGGGTGGGACCCACGGCGAACGGTTCATCAAGACTTAAAAAAAGAATATATACGATTGCATTGCATATACTAACGGATGCGATCATACCAGCACTAATGCACCGGATCCCATCAGAACTCCGCAGTTAAGCGTGCTTGGGCGAGAGTAGTACTAGGATGGGTGACCTCCCGGGAAGTCCTCGTGTTGCATCCCTCTTTTTTTTTTTTTTTTTTTGGTTAAAACTTTATGACTCTATAACTTCTATACCGTGAGGCCAAACTTGGCATGTGATACCTTTTCGGAAAGCCCAAAGAGAGCCCGCCGACGAAAGAAGCAAGACAATGGAACTTTTCCATTGACTTTTTGTCGACTCCAAATTTTGACCTTTAAGTACTTTTTCGGGCATTTTCGTGATTTGTGCTATATTACGGACCCAAAATTACTCTTTCAAGCGTTGTTTTCGAATATTTTTCATGCATCAAAGCTCGTTAAGACTAGATGGGGTATCCCTTCATGAAGGGTGGGACCCACGGCGAACGGTTCATCAAGACTTAAAAAAAGAATATATACGATTGCATTGCATATACTAACGGATGCGATCATACCAGCACTAATGCACCGGATCCCATCAGAACTCCGCAGTTAAGCGTGCTTGGGCGAGAGTAGTACTAGGATGGGTGACCTCCCGGGAAGTCCTCGTGTTGCATCCCTCTTTTTTTTTTTTTTTTTTTGGTTAAAACTCTATGACTCTATTACTTCTATACCGTGAGGCCAAACTTGGCATGTGATATCTTTTCGGAAAGCCCAAAGAGAGCCCTCCGACGAAAGAAGCAAGACAATGGAACTTTTCCATTGACTTTTTGTCGACTCCAAATTTTGACCTTAAGTACTTTTCGGGCATTTAGCACT